CTTATTTGTTGTTTACAACAAAGATAAATTCAAATTAAATTCTGATGTCTATAACATGAATACTAGACAAAAATATAACTTCCACCTACCCTCATCAACTTTATCAGTATATCAAAAAGGAGTCTACTTTACTGGCATAAAAGTGTTCAACAATCTGCCACAAAGTATTAAAAACTTGGGCAATGATACTAAAAAGTTTATATCAGAGTTAAAGAATTATCTACATGCTCATTCCTTCTACTCTTTAGATGAATACTTCAATGTAAATAGAGAATGATGTAAAATTAAGTTATATTAATTTTTAAGCTGAAATTGCCTGTACTTATGTATGTAACCTTTTGACTTGTTCTGTATCCAAAGGTACTAACCTGCTTAGGATTTATAGAATGTAAATAAATTCAATTCAATTCAACTCGACGCTGCTTGCCACACTGATTCAAGAGGGGTGTGTGGGGAGACACCTAGCGGTATTTTCGATGTACTCATAACCATTCGCACGCAAAATTCAAATTTCGGCAACTTGTGGATTGGTTAAACGTTTTCCTTTTACTGTGACTGAGAGGTGGGCTTTTGTATGTTTTAGAAGCAATTTTCTTTTCTCACTTCCACGTATTTCCTGGTGATTTGTGTCTGTAACTATATACCTGTATTTCAGCTACCAAAGAGAAGAAACATGGGCGATCTCAACCATCAGCCCTCCAGGCAACAGCCAGTGCCAACAACAAGTTCTCTCTCAGTCTCTATAAGGTAACCAGCTACTAGTATGATTGGATTAAATGTGATGTCCTTTCAAAATCTTCATAAAGTGTCTGAATATTGATGCTTGATCCCGTAAATAAAACCATGTAGAATGGGGATATGATAAAAAATGAGAATGAACATGGTATCTAGAACTCTGAAACTGTGTCTGATAAAGTATAGTTAAACAGTCAATAGAATCCAGTCTTGAAACAGTGTTTTACCAAGTTTACTCAAATAATTTGAAGGTGTTTCTGTGGAAATGGTACTCAGGCTGTTTGCTGCTTCCAGATTATCATTTCATAACACAGACTAAATAATTTGTTCGCTCTTTGTCCCATAGTAGTAACCTATGTAGCGCGATCATTAATGCAAAATAACAACAATTTCTAGCAAATTTAACAACTCCTAATTTTCTTTCAGTTGAAGGAATTATCAAGATGACCAATTCATGTCACATCTAACATTGAAATGTTAATATTGCAGCTGCTTAATGCTAACAGCACTGAAGGGAGCCTTGTAATGTCACCAGTCAGCCTCCAGTTAGCTCTGGCAATGACATATGTTGGTGCCAGAGGACGTACAGCTGAGCAGATGGAAACAGTTTTGCATCTACCTACAGACGAAGATGCTGTCAAGACAGGTTTTCGACAGCTGTTGAGTTCTCTAAAGGTATCTTTATTGTTTGCATCTTGTAGTATGTTGTCTATCATATATGGTATTCTTAATGTATCAGTCAGTACAAGTCTATAATAAAGAAGTAAGTACTACTGTATTAATATTTGTTTGCTGTGTGGAAGTATTGTTATACATTTCAAACATGTTGGATCACCATCAGGAAAACACTACATGCATATGTCACTTGTTATTGGATTATTTACCAATATGGATCCAGATTGGTGATTTTCGTTCAGTTTGTGTTATAATTTTAATTGTTAAATTTGAAATATAAATTTTGTTTAAAATTATATAAAAATAAAATTCTAATTAGCATAAAACATAAAATTTATAATTCTTCTGATTACTTTCTGACATAATGGAGTCTTTCGTATAGTAGAGGGATTTCTTAGGAGTCAGCACTATTCTTTTTAATTTCTTAGTATGTCTGAAAGCAAAGCGACTCCTACTGTACAACATACACCATTATTCTAGTAAAAAAATCAGAAGAATGATAAATTTTGTTTTATGCTAATTAAAATGTTATTTTTATTTTTATAATTCAAAATTAACAGTTAAAATTATAACACAAACCAAACAAAAATTTTTATAATCACCAATCTGGATCCATATCGGTAAATAATCAAATAGTGAGTGACACATTTATGTGATAATTGCCTGATGACCTGACAGGATCAAAACATGTAGCAATACTTCCACACAATAAATGAATACTAATACAGTAGTACTGATTTGTTTATTATAGAGCTGTTGTGTTCTCTAAAGGTAAATGGGTAGTATGAATCCTACCATGAAAATGGCAAGGTATGGGTTATCTCCGAGATATGAATATTCCAGTCATCTGGGAATGTGAGGTCTTCATTATTATATGTATGTTTTTCAGCTACTTACATTTGCTATATTCACATGGAATAACAATGATATTTTTTCTTCTTTGAAATTCAGACTGATTTAATCCTTGGTTTCCTGTATTATAGAAGTTTTACGAAACCTCATTCATACAAGATGAAAGACTCATTGTATTCAGGATCATGGAGTTAGATGACAACAGAAATATATGTAAGCAAAGATTATGCCCTGATTAGGACTTGAACTCATGATCATAATAGTACCAATATGCCAAAGATTGGAAACAGTCAATATGTCAGTATACAGAGTGTCCCAGGAGGAATGTGCCAAACTTTGGGAGGGTGTTCCTTATGTTAAAGTATGCCGATATAACCCAAAACACACCTATGTACAAATTTGAACGGTTACGGAGATAATGGCCAGTGAAGTGTGAAACTTTGACTGGTGTTACACACTTGTTGATTACAAAATACATATTAAAACTGGCAGGAATATGTGGTTTCTGTAATGTTAATAATGTACGTAACATCAAACTAACTTGTGAATGACATGAAGCCATAAAATTGAAGTACAAAATACTCTCTCACCATGTCATAATTGTCCTTAGGTTTCCAAGCACTATACATGACACATGACTGGCAAGCGCTGACGTAACATGGCTGACTGCGCTATAAGCCGACCACATAAGTGTATTAAACGTACATTCACAGAAAATCTCTTTTGGAATTTCGTTTCCATTATCTCATGTGGATTATTATGGAACCACGTATGCACATTTCGTAAATTACTTACACCGTCCAGGGCAAAAGACGCCTCATCACTGAATAAAATGACGCTTAACAGTTCGGGATGAGCTTTTTTATCCAGTGGCACAAATCCATACGCTGTGCATGGTCGCCTGGTTCCAGATGTTGTACCCTTTGATCATGGTAAGGATACAACTCTTCATCATGTAAAGTTCGCCACACCTGCATACGTGATACGCTGATGCGAGAGGCCATTCTACGAGTGGACAGACGCGGACTTCTCTTATCTATCTCAAGAACGTTCTCTCGTGTGTTTATCATTCGTACATCCTCCCTTTCATAGTGCACAGAAACACTCGGAAGAGAACCAGTATCACGCAATGTCTGGTGAATTCGCGTAAATACACTTCGAGATGGAATCCTTCGATCGGGAAAACGCCTTTGGTATTCTTCAACAGCAGCACGTGCATTGCCACCGCAAAATCCACACACAAAATGCATATCACAATATTCCACGTTTGAAAACACAAAAGGCATTTCAGCAACTCCGCACAGTTAACCTACCACCCATTCACGACCCCGCCGCAACGTACTCTGTAGGTAGCGCATGAGCTTACGGCTAGTGTGAATCAGCACACTCAAGGACAAACAGATAAGAGGTCTCAGCTAACAGGTATAGTGCGTGGACCCGCCAGAAGACCACACTTTTCTCGGGCCATTATCACCGTAACTGTTCAACTTTGGACATAGGTGTTTTGGGTTATATCGGCATACTTTAACATAAGGAACACCCTCCTGAAGTTTGGCACATTCCTCCTGGGACACCCTGTATATGAGTATTAAAAATGGAACTGTGGAGAGAGAGAGAGAAGAAGAAGAAGAAGAAGAATGTAGAAAAAGTGCTTCTGAATTTCTCAGAACATCTTGAATATTGTTTTGGACGTTTGCAGATTTTGTGAAAATATCTAAAGGCTTTGAATGTAGAGGTGCTAAAATAAAATGTTTTATGAAAAAAATCCTTTCTCAGATGTCAAACTAATTACATCTTAAAGTACAGAATAATCTGTTCACAGAGTTCTGGAAGTGTGAGCCTGGAGGTAGCCAACAGAATGTACATTCAAGCCACTTTCAAGGTTCTAAAAGATTTCCGTAGAACGGTCAGGAAGACATTTAGGTCAGATACGAAGGAAGTAAATTTTGTGGAAAATCATGAGAAGGCAAGAAGAATCATCAACAATTGGGTAGAGAAAAGAACGAGGCACAAGATAAAGCAGATGATTGGACCAGGTAACCATGTTTCCCATAACAACTATACTGCTAATATACTTGTCTGTGCATTGAATAAACTCCTGAAATCAGTATTTACCGACCAGTTCTGCAACTATCAGCCACTGAACACTTCATCTTAATACCACCTAAGTTTCTGTGTATATCAACACCAACAGTACAACCATGGGAATTATTTAAATTTAATATAAGTTCCTCCAGTTTATAATATGACACATTTCAAGCAATTGTGCAAGGCTTATCGAATTTAGTAAGAAATTATAAAAGGAGAAATATAAGTGTTCAATTGAAATATTTTGGTCTCATGTCCATGTGTATATGCCTTTCTATAGTAAGATGTGCAAAGGTGAATTTGAGCTACATTCGAAGTAGACTTTTTACTTAACTGACCAACTAACCAACTTCACTGGGCAGGGTATTTCTTGAAAAGTTGGAAATTCTTGAGTTGGTGAAACGAGCTACTGCTTTTATGAACCTGAAAGTTCCATCACCATGTTCACAAGAATCACCTCTGAACCATGTACTGAGCCAACTTAATTCAGTCCCAACCTTCATACTCTTATCTCTCTATGATGCACTTTAATATTATCTAGCTATTCATAGATCTTCCACATGGTCTCTTGCCTTTAGATCTGCAAACCATTTTGTATGAATTTTCCACTTCCCCTGCTGCATTCCCAGTTCATCATATTCTCTTGAATGAAATCATTCTGGCATTTTTAAATGGAAAATACAAATTATGAGCTCTTCATTATTTAACTTTCCCATTCTCCTGCCACTTCATCTTTCTTGCATCCAAATATGTTCATTACTTTGTTCCCAAACACCCTCATATTCTGTTCTTTACTAAAAGTGAGAAACCGAGTTTCATACAATGTTATATTTTAGCGTCCTGTTGCACTGATTTAAGTCCATGATTTATTTTATCCGTCTTCTAGTGCATACATTTATTTATCCCCTCTTTTCACTCTCACTACATGTTTCGGCACCAATGTGCTGTACAGTTTTAGTATTTTAACACTTGACATTTGTCAGTATATATGATAAATATATATTTTAGTTATTTGAGTATGTAAAGACAAGGCATGCAATGAATTAGTTTGTCGTGGATTGGATCAGCACCTGAAGATGGCACATTGGTGCCGAAACATGTAGTGAGAGTGAAAAGAGGGGATAAATAAATGTATGCACTAGAAGACGGATAAAATAAATCATGGAGTTTCATACCCTTACAAAACAACTCATAAAATTATATATACATGGTTATTCACAAAGAATGAACCGATTTCATGACGCATTGCTTCAGTTATCAAGAATCGTCATGGAATGAGTCAGTGACCATTTGAAAGAGGAGTTATCTAAGTTGTGAATGGCTGCCACAGGGTCGCTGAAGTCGCGTTGTTCTTCCGGCAACGTTCAGTTGTTCATTTACCCTCGGAATGGCGAGTCCTCAGCAAAAGGCGTTCTGCGTTCTGCATTCTCGAGTTCGCGAAAACAAATTCGGTTCTCACAGTGCAGCGTGCTTTTCGAAGGCGATTCGGCATTAATCCCCCCTGGCCTAAGAACATTCGACGGTGGTTTCGACAGTTTCAGGAGAGTGGGTGTCTGTGTAAAGGAAAAAGTCCAGGACGACCACGAGTCTCGGAGGAACAAGTGACGAGAATCCTCGCTGCGTTTGAGAGGAGCCCGCGGAAGTCAACAAATCGAGCTAGCCGTGAGCTTGCGATCCCTCAATCCACTGTCTGGCGTGTGCTAACAGTACGTCTACATTTGAAACCATACAGACTGCAGCTCGTTCAGGCACTTACCAATGACGACAAAAGGAAGCGGATGGAATTTTGCGATTCGATGCTGGAGATGATGGAAGACGAAACCTTCATTTCACGTTTAATTTTTAGTGATGAAGCGACTTTTCACTTGAGCGGCACAGTCAGTCGTCACAATGTGCGTATTGGGGAACAGAGCACCCACATGAAACAGTTGAGCACGAAAGAGATTCCCCTGAGGTGAACGTCTTCCGCGCTGTGTCTCAGGACAAGGTTTATGGCCCCTTTTTCTTTGAAGGAAACACCGTTACAGGACAAACCTATCTCGATATGCTCCAAAACTGGCTCTTCACTTCACTGCAAGCAGATTCGCATGACTTCATTTTTCAACAAGATGGAGCACCGCCCCATTGGCACCTGATGGTCCGAGCTTCTTTAAATGAAAAAGTGCCATAGCGATGGTTTGGTCGGAAGGGGGCCCAAGACCTTGCTCTTTGTGCTTGGCCTGCGAGATCCCCAGACCTCACCGTGTGTGATTTCTTGTGGGGATATGTAAAAGATCACGTTTATGTTCCACCGCTACCCAGTAACCTCGATGACCTTAACATCGAATAACAACAGCGATTAACTCAGTGCATCGTGATATGCTGATACGCGCCTGGGAGGAATTCTCTTATCGCATTGATGTTGCCCGTGCTGCAGGTGGTGGCCACATTGAACACTTGTAAGACAGAAACTGAAAGTTGATTGTGAGTACAATACTTGTGACTTGGCTGGAGTTTTGTATTACTTTCCTTTAATAAAATATTGTGTAATAAAATCGGTTCATTCTTTTTGAATAACCCTGTATATCTTTAGGTTTTAGATAGGACACGAGAAGGTAACTGAATGATAGCAATAATTTTCCAAATTTAAAATCTCCTTTTAATTTCACTATTCATGCAATTCTGATTTGTTACTGTCAATCTGGGATAGCTCACAAGATACAGAGACTAAGCTACTAGCTTGATGACTGACAACTCAAGGGTCCATTCCTGCAAGATCGTGGGTTCTTCTCTTCTCTACAGCATTCATACCGGCTCTGAGGCCCACAGAGCCTCCTATCCTGTGGGTCATAGAGGTAGTAGGAAAACGGATCTGACCACTCATCTCCATATAGTGCCAAGGTTAAGAATGCTGCAGCTGTACCTACACTCCCACATATGTTTTCATGGCACAGTGCTCAATTAACTAAGAACTTTACCTTTTACCGTGATACTATAATTTGAACTTTGTCACACATTTGAATGCTATGTATTTTCATTTGACCTGCATTCAGGTGACCAGACATGAAGCAGACAGTTTGCAGCACTAATTGGTGAATGCATCATGTTGTCTCCAGTCCTAAAATAATTTCTCTTGATCCATTTATGATGAATTTTTGGCCATTATTTTGGTGAAGAATTTATAAGTCATAATGAAGTTTCTTTAACTGTATTTCAGGAACGCTGAATGCAATGACCCGCCTAATACTTGTGAATGCTGTGCACTTCAAGGCTCGGTGGCTACAGCCTTTCAACAGTGAAGATACTGAGATGGGGAAGTTCCATATCAGCAGAAATGAAGAAGTTGATGTCCCAATGATGCACATGAAGACATTCTTCAGCTTCAAACATTCAGACAGTTTGGGTGCAAAAATATTGGAACTTCAATATGAGGTATTCATGCTCTGTTAAAAAATCAGAAACACAGAGAAAATTCATTTTTGTAAACTGTTGGCATTTCTAACTTTAAAATAATTTTTTTTTGAATAACATGTAACATGGCCATAAAATTTAAACACCTCGCTTGTATTATTCTTTACTACAGTTTACACAGGCACTGCCATGTCTGACATCCAATTACTTCAGTAGCTCTATTGGAGTGTGCTTATTTTGAGTAATATGATATTATTATTACTTTGTTGACATGAATGAACTATTTCTGGGAGAAAGTTGCTACTAATGCTTTCACTGCCAACTTTCAACCCTATTTAATGGAAGCTCTATATTCGGAGAACAAAGAGAATCCATCCAAATTAATATCTAAAATGCAAAATAACTAATACCATGGCACAGAGTCCTTGAGAAACTTAAGGTCATTCAGTGAATCGAGAATTCATTGTTTTTTATGGAACCCAAATGTTCACTCCCAAGTTAACAGGAGCCTACCACTGGATCATGTTATGAATCAGATCAGCACCCTCACACCCCATCAGCTGTATGATTCTTCTTAATATTATCCCCTTGTTTACACCTAGATCTTCAGGGTTTCTCACCAAAATTTTTGTACCCTTCTAAAATAACCTTGATTTGATCACCTAAACAAAATTAAGTGAAAAGGAGTACAAATAATGAAACTCTGGCTGGCACATTTTTACTTTCCATGTTCATAAGATGTCAACAATAGCTGACTCTGTTAACAATGTCGTAACTGATATTAAATGGTGAGAGCAGAAACTGCTGAGACTGGGAAAATGAGTAAAATATTTTCTATAATACACAATACCTAAGATGCGACAGACTAAGGTTATTTAATAAAGAGTATTGGAACTGTCACAGGGTGATACAGTGAGCATGTTCATACTGCTGCCTGACGATCTGGAAGGCATCTACAATCTAGAGAGAGGCCTGCCTGCTGTTGACCTTTCCAGCACCTTCAAAGACATGCAGCCAGAAGAGCTGAACATCACACTGCCCAAGTTCAAAATAGAAACGTCATTGGACTTGAAGAGCAACCTAATGGAGGTCAGAACCTCATTTCAACTCTGCACTAGAACAGATCTTTATCATTTATTTAATTAATAGCATATTTACAACATACTCTTAATAATATGGAGTAATAAATAAATTTGTTCTAATTAGGTGTCTTAAGTAGAGACGTCATCCACTGATGGTACTCTGATAGAACAGATCTGTGGAACAAATATAGCCTTTTCTCCTTTCATTAGAATTATTTAAACAGACCATATTCTTTTTCCCTCTTTTTTTGCTGGGTTTTTTATGACATTTTCAGTATCAAAACTATATAGTACACCATGGCGATTTCCCATTTTTATTAATCCTATTTGGTATGCCTCGTGGCCATTTCCAGATTGAAACCCACGCATTTTACAAATGCATGTAAATAGTTTACTTACTGCTAACTGATCGTATTTATATGAGGTGATTTATATTATATAAGCTTTCTTTCAATTTTTTACAGTAGTTAAAGTGATCACTGACATATGGAAATAATCTTAATAACATATGCAAATATCTTTTGGTACTCCTTTTGCAAAATGTAAAACAACAAAATGATGACCATCAGCATTTCCAATTAGCTGTCAGTTTGACAACAACAAATATTGGGCAACTTAATGCTGAATATGAAATTTTGTGTGAAGATAGATTTAAAGAAATACTTCAATTAAGTTCTTGAGACTACCTGGCAAATCCAACATAAACAAGATTGTAGTACTTCAGTAGTCCTATAAAATAACGATGTGCTACGCTGCTACACTGCTACCGCCGCCGCCGCCGCCGCCATTCTGACTCCAGAAGGAATTAGTTTTATGACTGCCTAAGCAGTGACATGCTATATGCTTGTTCTGATGTTCTCATATCCTGTATACTTCTATTCATTTTACACACTCTTTGTACAAAATGCATAAAGCAAAGAATATTGTCTCCATTCGTCTGTCCACATTTCATGTCAGAGAGTGCAAAATGGATTATCATGAACTTCAAATTGAATTTTATGAGTTTCTCCAAACTGACTCATCATACAATATACAGATCTCATTAAGGTATAATATTTCTTTTTAAGTGCTGAATATTCAATGAAATGCATTGAAAAGTAAATCTACCTAAACAGCATAACTGTGGTATGATTAGCTTTGGAATAATGCCAGATATAGCAATATGCATATGTGATAAATGAACTTAAGATATCAATGCATAATGCACTTTTGTATTCACAGCTTGGAATGAAGGACATGTTTCTAATGGAGTCTGCAGACTTCTCAGGCATTACTGGCTCCCCAGATCTTTATGTGAGTGACGTTCTCCAAAAAGCCTTTCTGGAAGTTACAGAACTAGGGACTGAGGCTGGAGCTTCTTCTGGTAAGTCACAATCAAAGAAAAATCTATGTCTTTTACCAGTTTGAATCACAACTTAGGTGCATTTATGTTAAAGGAAGAATAATATTCTTAGGTGTCTTAAGTAAGGATGAAACTGCATGACTCTTTTTTGAAGTTAGCTTTCCAATGCATTACTGTCTCACTAACTCACCAACTCCATAACTGGCTTGGGTGAAAAGCTGATAGTGACTCAGTTAAAAAATTTGTGCTAAAAACTTCTCAGGTCATCAATTATGTCAAGTTGAGTTAAAAATCGTTTGAGGGCTCTGCCTTCATCTCATCATCCTAATGATGGAGACAGATGAGATCTCTTAAACATTGGTCCTTAATTCAACATTGATGTGGTTGATAATCCAAGCAGATTTTAGCACATTTATTTTTCATTAAATCTTAAAGTCTTCCAAAAAATTATTTGCTTTTAAAAAGAGTTGAATGTTCATTATCATATTGTGGTGTACAGAACCGTTGTTAGGCAGACCTTGAAATAAATGAAACAGCTATTGCTATGCAATGGTGAAGTAAACACACCTCCACAACAATAAAGTTAATGATGGAAATGATGTTATGCAACCCGTAGCTAGGCAGCTGCAACAGCAGAAACGGATGTTTTCTATGTTGTCCGTGCTGAGGGGTTATTTTGAAAACAGCTGGCATGACCCAGTTAGTTGAGAATTGAATTATTCATGGAAGGCTGTTGAAGATAGAACCTGACCGTGTGAAGATGAATCTTCCTGTTAGAAGCCATTTTCAGGGAACGGATGGTGAAAACACGGCAGGCTGGAAAATGACTTTGCGGAGGCTGTGGTGATTTGTAAAGTGTGAAGGTTGACGATAATGCTGTATTTATTTGCAGTTCTGAGTCGTGTCTATAAGTGGTCAGTAAATCCATTCACCAATCCATACCCCATCTATAGTCACCTCTACACATGACAATATTCATGAAAGCTGATGAGCTATCGTGAGCCAGTTCAGCCTAATCCTTTATACCCTATTTGCCAAAGATTCATTTTAATATTATCTTCCAATATACACCTAAACCTCCAAAAATATCTAAATCAAAATTGTATGTGTTTTTATCATTCCTTCCTTGCAAGCTACGTATCCTGCAATCTTATCCACCTTCATATAATCACCCAAAGAATGAGGTATAAACTATGAAGCTTGTCCTTATGTAATTGTCTTCATCCTCTTTGGGCCCAAGCATTCATTTTAAAGAATTGCTATACACTTCCATAGGTGCTTCCATTCACTCAAACTCTGTACATACGAGTACATGTTGTGCTGCAATCTGTTGAGAGACATAGACATACTGACGATTTCTCTGCATGTAGCATTCCATTGCAACCCAGTCCGTCTTCATTTTGTTGACCACTCAAATGGCAGTCTAAAGTGATAATGCAAAGCAATGGTGATAAGCCATCTAATTTTATACTATTCCCTACAGGATATCCATCAGAAAGATATTCTTCTATATGAATTTTAAAACAGGATCCATTTATAATAATTTGAATTAGCCAGAATATTTTCTGGGTACAACAAATTTTATGAGAATGACACACAATCCTTCTCCCATAACTGAGTCATGTGTCTTTTCTGTAGTTTGCAAATAGCCATTGTACTCCCTTTCCTGTCCAGTATGTGCCACATGCATGATATCTAATCAACAAGTGATCCAGTACAGTTGGAATCCACACTGATAATCCCTAACAATTTTATCTCATGTACACTGGAAGAATGGTGGACAAAACTGCGTACTAAGTAGTTTAAGAGTAAATCCATCAGTAATTACTAGAGTCAGTTGTACTGCACTTTTATGATTGCATATGATAATAGATTCATTCCTATATACTGATTTAATATTTGATAGTGTGTGGCAGTCAAAACTTCTGCTGATCAAGGGCTTCTAATTATCATCATCACTGCCACCGCCACTGCCACTGCCACTGTTATTATTATTATTTTATAGTGGTACTTTCTCAGTTATTAAAAGATTAATTGTATTCAGTGTAAATATGCATTATGCATATATATTTTTTTTCTTGCCACATAATGGTTAGCATGATTGCAGTTACTGAATTTTTATTATTGTCTAAATGATACAAGTTGCCTTGTTTTGTATTTGTGTGAATGTGTTCTTTGTCTCCTTTTGTCCATGCTTATTTTATAATTGGCCTTTGGGCTGCTGAGTAAGCATGTAAATAAATAAGGAATCACTGATGCGCCACCGCCTCCACCGCCGCCGCCGCCGCCACAACCACCGCCACATTACTACTACTATTATTATTACTATTACTGCTACTGCTACTTCTACTACTATAACTATTTCAGCTGTCGTTGCTGAAGCTCGTTCATGGAGACCACCTCCCCTGGAATTTGTGGCAGATCACCCATTCTTGTTCATAATTTGGGAGAAGAGACTGAACACAACCCTCTTCATGGGTAGATTCTTGGGGCCAGAATAGAGATTGAGAGCTGCAGTGATGTGAACTCCCACAAGTGCCACTGAACAGTATGCATCAAAGAAGTCAAACCTTGAACAATTTCTCATACCGTGTTTAGAAATTACATGTTTGTATTGCAATGAATGTACTGCCTGTTGAAATTTCAACAGGAAATCATGGCACCACAAAAGAGCCAACATTTCAGGAACAATATATCAATATTTAAATCCATACACCAGTTGTGACTCTACACATATGAGTAAAACCCCATAATTAAATTCTGATACTAAGTTAGGGCACAGTAATAAAAAAAATTGCAATATTCACTCTCCCTACATGTCATTGCAGTCATATAAAATTGCAAAGATCATCTCTTGAAATAATATAAACTGCTAACAGATTCATTCAAAAGAACTCTCTTTTGCCTTAGGACCCAGCTATTCTGAATTAATAAAGGGTGGGAAATTTAGTTACTGAGCCCAGAAGAGTTCTTAAAATTCATAATTATAATGGATCAGTGCTATGCACAGGTTCTTTACACACCAAAACAGTATTGCTTTTAACCACAGTGGAAAACAAATCCTTGAGTATCAGAACACAAGAGAAGTCACAGAAGTACAAATTAACATACTCAAAATGGAACACAGGCTGAAGTAAACTCCTGTCTATCAAAAAATAAAAATGTAATACTCAAAACTCTGATCCAAATGAAAAATAAATTTGAAACAGTGATTAGTCATGTCTGAACCAAACCTGAATCCTAAGTAATTCATTTTAAAAGGATCAAGGACATGGCCAACAGAATAAAAAGGGGAAGGGAGAACAGAATTGAGGGAAAATGGATACAGAAGAATATATAGACTGCACCAAGGACAAACACAAACCAAGCAGAGAAGCAAGAATGGAGGAGTGGAGCAGGGTAGATGTCATAATGCATATCAATGCAATGTAGAAATGTTTTATTCCATATTTATCCTTGATTATGAGATGTGGTGAGCACTGGTTTTTTGCTTGGGTTACTCTTCAGTCACAAAGATGGAGGCAGCATGGTTCTCCAAAATGTTGGTTGACGTTCCAAAGACTACATGATATAATATTCCAGAAGACAGAACAATTCATAACTACCAATGTGAGAACCTCAAGTCCTACGCTTATATTCCAGTTTAAGTCACTGGCATAGACATGCATCCATTCCAGTGTGAGGATATCTACTGTTTACTGCTGAATGGACATTGGACTTGGATTTTAATTATGTCATTGTAATTACTGATGTCTGTTTAAATGTGTACATTCACAATTTTACTTCAATAACAGTTCTGATTATACTGATCTGTGTTCCCTTAATTCGTATGATTTTTATAACTCAGGTTTTGTACAGAAAAAAATCCAGTTTTGTGTTTCATAAAATCATCTGTAGTTATAGATATGATAAAAATGTAACATTAGTTTAAATAATAGTTGTGTAGATTGTAAGGCAACATCATGACAGCAAGAAGACAGTTTGATGGAAATTCATGATAGCAAAAAGTAAGATTGATGGGAATTCATGTTAGCAAAAAGTCAGTTTGGTGGGAATTCATGATAACAAATATACTAAATAAATATAAATTTTGTATGAAATATTTTCGTGGAATGCTATTTCAAACATGTTTCAGCATATCACTGTGGGTATGCTTAAATTTTTAATACAGTGGAACTACACAGCATCTTCATGCAGATCATAAAGGTGAGTAATTATCAATTTATGCTAGCTTTTCTATATAAATGAAGCATATAGCCAACATGGTTTCTTAACACATGAAGGGGAACAACATTACTGACTACAGAAACTTGTACATTGAATATTCTCCAACAGAATTCGCGTTTTACTTATGTTTCAACATCAGCATTTTGATAAGACTATACACTGTGCACTGTTAGAGCAGTTGGGTCATTTTAACAAAAATATATTTTTCTGAAATGACTATATATGCACTGTTATGAATTATAATTACTTTGTATTGTGGTTGGCCTGTTTGCATATCTCGTTCACTCAAGGGGTTTTGATCTGTGTTCCTAAATTGGTTGGTGGCCCAAGACTGGGGTACTGTGGGTATCACTGGAGTTGTTAATGAAAGACATCTTGGCTTCACTTACCAACATTACAGTCATTCTTTCATTCTTCCCACAGTACATTATCAATAACTTTTGTATGAAAAGTTTCCAGCACAGCATCCAAACATGTGAACCGTGTTTCGCGGTTCTGTTGCGCAGGATCTTTAACCCCCCCCCCCGTGGAGTGTTCACTTCTTTCCGGATATGGTGTTTGATGACGTATATGTCACGTGCTTTTCCCCTTCCTTGTTTCACTTCCTTACCTCCAGTGAGTGTTCATGTTTGCTCGCTCCTTTTTCCTGGCTGACCATCGGATGGGACAGTTCGTCCCTGCACTGCAAAATTCTGTTCGGTTTTTTTTTTTTTGAACTTCTTGTATGTTCTAAATTTCTGTTTCGGCCGCATGGTATGGCACCATGAGGAATTGAGCCCTTGCAGCTATAGCAGGAAGGTATTTGGCTTGAGCAAGGTAATAGGATTTGGGTTTACGTATTTGGTATTACCTGTGGGTACTGTATATTTGCGTCACGTGTGCGACTTTTAAGTCTGTTTCACGACTGTAGCTTTTCTTTGGGCACGGGATGTGCTAATCATTCATTTGTTTGTATTATGTTACTTTTCTAATCATTCCTGCCTGGATTTGTGTTCCCACATTAACCAGCCAATCCCAAGGCATCTTTTCTTGACATCCCTGCGCCAACTTAGGGAGGCATATTGCACCACGGCAGCAAGCAAGTCGTTTTTATGAGCCTCCTTGCCAGGAAGGGTAAGGGGATGGCTCACATGCATCTCACAGAATTTAGAATTTTTTATTAATTTTGCAGTTACTGCCTCAAAAGAAAGGTAAGTGCTGTTTCCAATGTACATAGAATGTAAAGGCTGTAAAGGGAGAAGGGTAAAAGGCATGGAGAAAACAATAGTACACAATTTACTGAAACATCTGTTGATCCAGGAGGTGAAGTGGTGATAGCAACAATATGCTCATCATCCATAAAAATTATTTGGAAGAGTATCTACATGAATAGGGACCCGTGATAGCGTAATCGGTATAGAGGCTGGCTACAGGCTGGACACCTGAGGGGTCAGAGTTTGAGTCCTGGCAAGCTCAAGAATTTTCTCGTCCACATTATATAGACCAGCTCTGGGGCCTATCCATTGGGTACTGGGGACTCTTTCCCCAGGGGGTAAAGCGGCCGGGGCGTGAAGCTGACCATTCACCCTCAGCTTGTGCTGAGGTCAAGAAAATGTGCATCTATAAATCTACTCCCCCCATGCATACTGCTTAATTAGTTAACTACATAAACATCCTCTATAATGTGAACAATTAGAATGCTAATAAACTTTTAGTAATGATTACTAATTAAAAATTCCTTTTCAAGTATTATATATTTTCATAATAAATGATTTCTGAAATACATTATCTCTGTCTAAAGGAAAGTTTGGATCAGAAGTACAAAATACATAACTTCATGCCACAATTACATTTAGTAAACTTTTTGTTTTGAAGTATGACAGAAGAAACAATGTATAAGTAATTTTTCATTTGAACAGTGAATATAACATGATATAACAATGACTCATACTCTCTTAGTCTATATGCATATACTTCCGCATTGCACATGGTGCAACAAAGACTGCACTGAATTTCAACACTGAACATGTTTTACCATTCTGACCTATGAAAAGTGCATGAATGTAGTGTTCTGCTAACAGGTACCAGTCACATATCAGAAGCATCTTACATACAACATTTTAGTCAAACAACACATATTATTGCTGTTGTATATACATGGTACAGATACTACTGTAGTTGTAAAGAAGATAATATTTCACAAAGAATTTGTACGAACTCTTCATTTCAATTTCATTGTTAAAATACATATCCAAAAATAGTACTTTATGAACATACATAAACTGATTCATAGACAAATTCAGGTATTTAATCTACATAGAGCACAATAAAAATCACACAGCTATTTCACTTTGAACAGTAATTCATCACTCTACAGGAGAAAAATATTATGTAATCCTCTCAGCTTCTCAAGAAGTATATCATGAAATCTTTGCATGTCTCTCATCATAGATGTTCCTGAACAAGCATAAAGCCGAGTATTAAAAATGAGCCCACTGACACACATGCAACAGAAAGTAATAGATTATGTTATGACTCTTAATGAAGTGTAGCGTGTGAATACAATTTCTAGGATTTACATCTTATGTATGTCTTTGGAATTGGAACTTTATTTTACCCATAATACAACAAACTTACATATAATCTGATCTGAATTTCTTTTATGAACATTCCACAAACACTGTCCTCAAGTAGTTAGTTATTGGAGAGGGTGGGTTTCCCCATGCACTTAGACCTGTATTGGTCCATTGTGCTTCCCTCTATGATTTTTACCAGTCTCTATATCCTACCGGTACTGGTGCTTACCATGAGTCCCGCCCAGCCAGCGAGACCGGCTCTACTAGCTGAGGTATCTATAATGCTTCCCCCATCTACCAGAGGTATTAGAGACTGCTGTTGGGCGGGGAAAGTCCGTAATTTGGCTCAGTGACCTCCTTTTGAGATATGAGGTTCTTTTACGTGCCATAAAGCTACGACACGGGACCCACAGCTTAAAGTCCCTCCCGGAGGACTTGTTCCCTGAATTTTTCCGCCCTTAAAAATTCGACAACCTCTGCCGGGTATTTGAACCCATGTACTACGAGTCATGAGGTGGGAACGTTACCTCTAGACTACAGAGGCCGCTTCTGTCCTCAAGTAAGTAGGTACAGTGAGATTAATAAGAGCAGAGAGATTGAAAAATTTTTCACAGAAGTAACTGTATACATTGCAGGATAGTAAATCATGCTGAGATATATGACTGGCTTAAAATATACAAGCCAGAATAAGTACCAAGAAACTGCATATAATGAAAAAAATTTAGATCAGGAGTTTTTTTTTGTACAGATTTCTATGAACACCGAAAACATACAAGAGACGACATTTCAAACATCCATTTTCAGAACTGTATGTACCTGTTGATGGTCCAAACCTTTATAATTTCTTTGAGAACCAAATGGAGAAAAACAATTCCTTGCTTTGAAGGGTCTGAGGTCATTAAAAAAAAAAGGATAACTGATGTTCTGCTTGTGGTATAAGTTCCATTTATTTCTCAATTTCATAATTTTACACTAAATGACTTGTGACTTTACAAACTATGAAATTTTAGTATATGCAATGTTCAAAATGTGATAGGTTTTTTGGTTAGAGCTGCTCATTGATAATTGTATTTATCTTACAAAAATGTTTCTTTTAATGAAAATACTGACTGTACACCTGAATTTAACAGCCTTCATCACACATTGGTCATGGCCACCTTAAACTATTACAGTATCCCTGAGAACTCTATTCAAAATGATGCTAGCCCCTCAAACACGTATGTGTTGTGGGGCTATCTGCCTTAATCCTTTCACAGCTGAGTATTCCTGTGGCATGTCAACCATGTCAGATCAGATATTTTCACAACATTAAAAAGAATTAAATTTTGTAGTACTTTATAGCAAGCATTTCTGACAGCCAAGAAATTCCATTTGCTGGAGGGGGGTTTAATATTTGTCAAAATGATGCCTAGGAAACAAGCAGGAAATCTGAAAACATCACATGACAAACAAGTATGCCATGACCTGTCAGAAGCACCTAGTGAAAGCACAAATATTTGTGTTGTGACACTGAAATAATTAAATGAATAATGGGGTAAGGCGGTACTAAAAAGAGCCTGCCCAGTCCACTTCCTTATTCATATATTACTTTAGGGTCTATCCAATTTGCACAGAAGACGAATGACAATTAACTCATACCAAATGAAGTATATTCATTCATTTAAGACACAAGACTCAGAACAAAACTTCTGAGAAATCAATATCCGAAAAATTATTAATGAATTAATTTTGTTCAATTTAAAAATAACCGGAATTCTGAAGGGTGTGACGACTGTAGGAAAACAATACTGATGTCAATCAACAGTTTGGGGTTAATATTTTAAATATACAAAACCTATGTCAAATAACATACAAATTTGAAACTTGTAAGCTCAGACAGCAGGAAAGCTCCATAACTACAGAAACAATGTCTGGCCAATCATGCTGCCCAGGGCTTTTCCAGAATGCCGCAACAAAATTGGCTCTCCTGTTATCACAGCATCAGAAAAATCACTGCTGTGACCTATGCAGAACAGATGCTGGCTCAA